ACACACACACACACACACACACACACACACACACATGTATATATAGATATATATATATATATATATATTGGAAAATAACTTTCGGAAATCTCACGACAGCTTTTGGGCCCTTTTATACAAGCCACCTTTTCGGGCTTCGATCTCAAGCCTTAGCAGCCATACCTATTTGCAGTACACAGATATTTATTCGGCCCATGTCGAAGGCAAAATCGCGCAGTGCTAGCTAGAACGACTAGCAATAAAAAATCATTCGTACGCAGCCACAGTGCCGATATATAGACACTAGCAAACGCACTTATATCGATACAGGCAAACGCGACTGTATCAATTCGGGGTCAAATATCGTGTAGTGGAAATGATGTGAACTTTGTTTTCTGCTCTTGCTCCATATATCGGCCTTGTCTTCGTCGTCCAATCATCACTTTATGTGGAGACAGCCAGTGGTGGTTGGCGTGGTCGTTAACGCCTAGCAAACTCAGCTAGTCACCAGCTTGTGCACGCTTTAACGTATCACTTATATAGTCTCTATAGTCGCATCATAAACGGATACCTCCTTCCAACGCGAGACTCCCAGTCTCGTATGTACCAGCCACTTGTCCCAGGAATTTGTATGCGCCGCTAGCTTTGTATCGTACCACTCGGTATTGTACAAAAGCAGATAAAGACACGACCAGTAGTGTATCGACGTAGTACTGCATTCCCAGTCGAGCTCATTTGTGAAAACCTCGACATACATTCACTCAGAAATTACCGAACCAAAGTTGAGGGTAAAGTGCTGCTGTTAGAAGCGCAGCTGACAATCCCCAAGAGAATTCACAAGCATCATCAGGTTCGTTCAATTCAGTATATTGTGTGGGTAACACTCTCATCTGATCCGCTTGAGTATTGAAAGCTCGGCACTGTGCGTGTATATCCATATTATATACTTATATATTCATAATTTATGTAGGAGCGTTCCATCGACAAGATTTGTATTCCAACCAAGCTTAGCATATTTTATGTGCAAATAAGAAAAAAAATAGTGTGCCACCTGTGTATCATCCTTTACATATTCGAGAACTCCCGTAGTTGTAGGTAGGTAGTAGGTAGACAACGTGCAGAGGGGCGTGTATCGATATTTAGTCGACCTGTATAAGTCTGTTCTGGTAGTTATTGTATTGTTGATCCGTTTGAGTCGATATGGCAGCTGTCCCTCATTCTGCAAGTGCGAGCGTAAGTTCGTTCGCTGATAAATAAAATCGAACTAAATTCGATCGCCTGTTGGATTGAGAGACAACCTTTTAATATATTATATATATATATGTATAGTATATATATATATATATATTTATAATATATATATATATATGCAAATAGAGTGAGCGCCATTGGGCTTCTTGTTGTATTGTTTTGTAATTGGGTCTAGGGTTTTAGCGATATATGCACCGTGTCTTACTGAATGGCTTTTCTATACCACCCTCAGCTTATAGGCCGAGGTGAGATGACGCGGAAGGACTTCTTTGCTTTACCCGACCAAAAGAACATCACATATGAGAAAGCTATGCCTGGTCATGCGATGTGGCTCGAATATGTATCGCACCTCTGGAGTGCCCTGCCCGGGTATGTTTAAAGCCTTCTACTAGACGGACCGTTTCATTACATAGACTCACTACAGTCCTTCATCTGCATCGGTGAATGTATGTAATAGTACAAGAAGCACTTGTATACGGTTGGATGGCTCTGGTGTTGGTTTCTTAGAATTGCGCAGAGTTCACTCAAAATCGGGAGCATGATTGGGATCTTTTATCCGTCAAATCCTATGTTAGCCAACGCGATGTGTGCAGGTTATTTTGCTCACATCACTCGTTGCTATATATGGAATAGAAACTAATAGCCTTACAGCTGATGATAGCGCCCAGCTAGTCCACTGTATCGGTTTGTCCTAGCGTGTTGGCCTGATTAAATGTAATCGATATTCTATATTGACGAGTATAGGATTTACTACATTATTGTTGCATTGCTTTCGAACATATAAAGTGCACTCCGACACCGTTTGCACGATTTGAATTCGATGTCGAAGCAATGGCGTACAACCTGTTGTACACAGTACGAGATTCATAAACGATGATAACCCTTCATCTCAAGCAACGTTGCAGGCTTAATTGGACCAGATACGTCATACGTATATATATTGACCCCTGTACTTCTCCTATGAACAGTGAGAGCAACAGTGCGCAGGCTCGTGCGAGTCTATTGGTATCCGTAGACATGCACGGGTGTCTCATAACTGTGTCAAACGCACGGAATGCAAGCCTGGTCGGTGTAAGCGGTATTGTTTTGCAGGACTCTGTCAGGACTTTCACGATTGTCACAAAGACGAATGCTATCAAAGGTGTGTGTGTGTGCCATGGTATTATAAAGCGTATTTTGCCCAGCCGAGTATTCAAAACAACCATAATATGTTGTACACATGGGTCAGCATCGCGGCACTGTTTCGGCCAATACTTCTTTTTCTGCCTTGGTTAGTTGGTTTATCGGATGGCGCAGCTTATACGAATCTCCGCATTGTTTGATTGGACCGCACTTTCACTACCCTAACCCTCTGACGTGTAACTACAGTGTTGCCTAAGGATGGTGCCACTTTCACAACAAATGCGCACTCTATTGTAATTGTGTGGCACGGAAATGGGCTCATCGCCGAACGATTGACCAGGGCGAAGGCGAACCAGGTACACATTGTACATGTCTAACAATTGGATTGCTGGAGAAGCTGTTTGTACTATAGTCAGTGCAGTCATGGTTGTCCTATGCATTTGGCCTGATCTGATTGGTCGAAATGAGAACTTAAAGTGGTTTAATTGCTCACTATCATCCTCCAGCGCACGCAGGCTTCGATCATCGTGTGCAGTGTCACATTTCGGCGTTGCTTGTATCGTCTGATATCGACTCGTCACAGTGTGTCTTAACTTCCACTTAATGCAGACTTTGATCTTGTACCGGTATACAATTCCCTCGTACAGCACATGGCTAAGAAACGATTGCCTGCATTGTACACACAGCCATATTGTCGCACTCTATTTATAGCATTTCTTATATTTCTTGTTGCAGTTGGCGCATCACAACAAACACCATCGTGGGGGACCAAGGAACAAAATACCCAAAATCAAGAAAAAGGGCTCGTACGTTGCGACTGTCAGTATCGATAGGTAGTTTGCAATTACAGCAGATGGTACATGTCCACACACTTGATTGCGCCGCAAAGAGATACCATACATGATTTATCTGAAAGGTGCCTGTGCTGTCTACACTGGATCACTCTCGAGTAACATACACGTACACGCCCAGTGCTACTGACTGACGATGGACAGTCCGTATCGACCACTGGGTGCGTATGCTAATGGTGTTGACGGGCTAGGAGTGGGGTAAGCGTATTCGTACACTCTTGCTGATGAGAAAGTCTTTGTTTGGAGCGTGTCTATCGCGACCGCCAGCATCAAGGCAGATGACTGCGCCCACACACGAAGCCTAAGTACTGGTAGCGCTATATATTGTCACCCATGATATGCATACGTAGCAAAAGTCAACATAGTCGGCTATGGTTGAGGGGTATACAGACCTTTTTATATATTGACAACCGGACCTGTCATTTAAAAGTCAATAAGATATACTTCAGCTCATGTAAATAGTATATACACACATTTGTATATATATTAACACCCGGAACCATCATTGACGACCTATCCATGGTGCGTGGACGTCGCGACTGTCGGCATTGATGGGAGACAGATAGAGACTGCAGATGTATGTGATACACCTATAGTACTTGCCGGAGCTGCAAACGGTTGCGATCGAGTGCCTATATGACCGGTCAGGGTCACGAGCATAATCCATTCATGGCAAATGTACGTAGTAGTTAAGGCCGTTGGTATCAATAAGGATCCAGTTGACTGGAAACACACAATAGCGTCAAATCTCACGAGACATGTTACAAGGCTTCCGGGCTACTTATTATGTGCACCTTATGGCTACTGGTTACAGGCGAGTGCACAGAGAAACCAGAATTTGAAACACTGAGATTGGGTTTAAGTGGTGTTAGAAGCCAACTTCAGCCTGGGAGAAGGATAAAAGGGTCGCCTGAGCAATAACTAAGTGACGCTCACAGCATTGTGTATCAGCCAGCAATCGGTATTGTCGGGTAGCAAGTGGTCTTGATATTTTATCAAGGCAAATACATACCATTGCGCTTCATACTCTTCTTTATTGTCTAACATTTTATCAAGGCAAATACATACCATTGCGCTTCATACTCTTCTTTATTGTCTAACATTTTATCAAGGCAAATACACACCATTGCGCTTCTACCCTTCTTTATTGACGAACATTTTATCAAGGCAAATACATACCACTGCGCTTCATACCCTTTTTAATTGTCGTTCTGGTAAAATACTTGATACGCTTAAAGGAGTTGTCGTCGCTTGGTTGTTTGCGGCAGTCGACAGAGATCGCTGAGGCCATCGAAGCGTCGACAACAGGGGAGCATGAGTCATACCCATATCAATGTACAGTGATAGTGTATGTTAAACAGACGTCCAGTCGGTATAGCACGCACGTCCAATATATTCTCCCATGTGCGAGCAGCCGACCCAAGCTCCGCTTTCAGCGCTCATAAAATATGGCGTCTGTGAACAGGCCACCATCTGAAGTGGTAGTTGGGGCCAGGGCCTGATTGGGCCAGGATAGCAGCTGTCGCTGGGCAATGGTCGCGGTGAAGGGGTAGCATGATTATTGGCTGCTATCACTTTCTGCCAAGCGTCTCTTATGTAGCGCTTAGCTGCACCGTGATACATTGATACACAATTTATATGATCTAAAAATAGTCAACTATGTATGTAGGAGTATTAATTCATTTATTCATCGGCTGATCAGTAACGCTATCATCGGCCCTTACTTTGACCGCGTATTTGGCCGCTTCTCCGTCTCCGTATGCCCCAGTAATGTAGGGATTGAACCTACTGTTATATCGTATACTCAGTAGTCTGGATTCAGGCTTCTTGTGCTTGACGTGCTCTACACGTATGCCACTGTCCAGGCGAGTATTTGGGCGGTACTCAGATAGTACTCTGCGATTTAGAACAATGATGAAATTTTTTCAGAGGGTGTTTCATAGCATTCAGTGGGGAAGGCATATGCTAGACAATCATCTACAGGTTAAGACCGGACAAATGATGGTAGATACACTGTGGGTGGTTGCTGTAGAACGGAACAATTTGCCGTGGGTCGAGTTGTCAAAAAAAACAACAACAATACATTGGTCAAATCAGAGCTAACAAATTAGCGCACATTCAGAGAGATTCTTCACGGAAGGTCGGATAGTCAAACCTCCAGTGCCTATCCCGTTAATGTATCTATTGCATTCAAGAGTCGTCATGCGTGCGTTTGCCCGTGTTATGTAAAGAGACATGCGATGGAATAATACTCAATGCTGTGAAAACACTTTAGATAACACTACAATCGACACAGTACAGCATGTGATTATAGTTGGAATCAAGCATCCGCGAACGTCTCCGAGCGTCTGTTATGCGCTTGATATGGTATGGCTTTTTTTGTCACAAGAGCTTTCAAAGTATTTAGGTATATGGAAGTGAACGTATTCCGAATGGACGGTATGGCTTTTTTGTCATAAGATGAGCTTTCATAGTATATAGGTATATGGTAGTGAACGTATTCCGAATTCGCTTAGTTGAGCTTTCATATGCTTAAAAATAGGAGAGAAATTTCTTGGTCGATCCGTCTCCACACAACATACAAGTTTTCAGGCAGAAGCATGCAACAGTGTCCAGAAAGGTTCTAATGGTGTTGTCGATTTCATGCGGTGAGTTTCATGCGGTGAGTGTACTATAGGTCGCACAACATAGTTATGATCTGATGACTTGAAGAAGCTCTTCGCTCGTAGAGACAACGTTACATAACAATCTAACGTATATCATTAACCTCCTCATAGACAGAACCAGCCAGCTGTGTTTTAATATGCCCAGCCATGGCCATCAAACTATCAAGCTAAATGATATTCGAATACGCGCGATGTACTCGATAAGTGGGATCGTTTGCACTCACCTGTCAGGCGTCATAAAGTCCGGACCATAATCACGTTCTAATAGATCTTTCGAGTCGCTTGGACACAGAATAGGAATATTGTAAAACCAGCAGACACATGGATTCTCGATATCAACCCTGGTATCTTGTGATTTAGACGTGCGCCCTATCAAAGCTGGAGAAAAGACGAGGCATTAGCAGAACACATGATTCACCAATATAAATAATTTCCGAACCTAGCGAATCAAGTCTGTGTGAGTGGTAGCGGAAGGTAGCTTGTACAATGTGCGCGGTTTCCACAACATCGTTCACCTACGAATACAGGTGCTCATGCGCGGACGGTTACGGACAACGTATGCAGCAACCTCTACATATCATATCACGCAAGCCAACGGTACCAAACACAGTCAGTGGTTTTTAAGCACGATTGGTAATGTGCACTCGCACTGGTTAATAGGGACTTGTGTATCGCGGCTTTTGCATGAGCGTGAATCATACCTTGTTTGGCCTTCTTTGATTGTGTCGCGTCGTTCGATTTCTTTTCGTTGCGATCAATCACAAATACTATATCTGGGTATACAAATATCCGACAGATGAATTGACATTCAGATCTAATAAAGTTTGAAGTATCATAATTCATTTCAGAGAACTAGTGTGATTATGTGTTATCAACGAAATGGCCACGAGTTATCGACTGTCATTTACTTGTCGGCTCTATTGGTATGATACAACGCTTCTTACACTATCTGTAAACTTTCATAAAACTTTGTGGTGGCGAGTACAAATAGCCTTGACATAGGTATGAAACCAGTCATTCACCTAAGAACGTGAAGTCCAGTTTTGTGAAGCTGATATTTAGCGGGCCATAGCAGCACTCTGCGCCTCTAAATCTTCACAATCTCTTTCACTATCCGATTTACTTCAATACATCAGAAATATGGTTATTTTTTTCTCAATATTTTTGAAATTTGTTTGTGTTCCAACCACTACACGCAGCCCTGTGTTGTATGTACTACGTACCTTGTAGCATCTCCAGTACTAGATTACATTTGGCACATGCGTGAATTTCCACGAACCAATATCAAATATAACGGATAAGTCTTGATCTGAGAGATATGCCCATGAAGTTGCAGTACAACGATATACTTACTACTTGTACGACTGAATTTAAATGCATTGTTGCCAGATCACTTTAGATGAGGATGCGTATCTCCCGAAAGTACAATAAGGTGGTATCAAATAGTAGCTTGTACCTACCTGAAGCAAAACAGGTCCGATCTAGTCTGATTGACGGGTCTTCCTTGGCCCTACAAGGTTCTCGAATGTAGTAGTGTGCTGAATTTCGTTCCGCGTCTTTTATAGTCACTCCAAATCCTAAGCTTGTGAAGTAAGCCTGTTGACCGATCAGATTGAGATACGTTTTGGGTGAAGTTGCATGCAGAGACACTCACATGCATGTGTGTGGATTTATATCTGTGTATAGCCGCCCCCATGTATATGTGATTATATGTATCTGTATATATCAAGCGTATGCGTGCGTGGTTTTGTATGAGTAATGCTTTTTCAGATATAACTTCGGTACATTTCGCACAGATAGAACATGTTGACTACGAACTATCAGATATTATCCAGCAATTATGAACCGTCCCAATTTGCGATTATGCGCTCGCGCTACAGAGCATCACTGATACTAAAACGTGAAGCATATGAAGTGAAGAAGTATAGGAACATAAGCAATATTAAGTTTTCTGGCTTGCAACGCCTTTAAAAATCTTATCAGGATCTGCTCGCATGTTAAGTGGCCAATGTTCACCAACATGGTTCATATACTGACCGTCATGGAAACTATTGCGTGCACGTGATACGCAGAACTGTGAAAACATGCTACACACGGACATAAACGACCACTCGATTACGCCTTACACTCGCCTATTTTCTCTCGAAACAAACGGTGCAGTGTTCGAACCTACTTTAAAATTGGAGTCCAAGATCGCGGACCATTGCGTAGCGTTTAGGCCGCACATCAGACCCTTTCGTAGTACGACATCGGATGTTTCGTCGTATAATTCAGAGCAGTTGTTTTTCAGGCTCGCGAGTTGCTCCTCATCGGACTTGTCGAACTAAAATAGATACATATTGTCATTAGGCAATGTGAGAACTTGCAAGCGAAGTGATATCATATAAAGGTTGATCCCAAACGCTCACACGTCGAAAATCACGCCACAAATCGGGGTTATCAGGCGGAAAAACCAGCACACCACACAGACAAACGATTTATGACTATACTCAGGCGAATATTACGAACAAACACATAGAAGTATACAGACCTACATGAGAGCGATGTTGGTGAACTATTCCACGACCCGAATTATGGCCGTTAGTGAGCTCCACAGCGATGTCTATTTGGTCTCTGATATATCTCTTATTTAATCGCAATGGGATTTCGACGTCGTTGTCCTTGTCGCCGGGAATTTGCCCTCGATGCCTGTAAACACCTATTTAATGACAAAACAAAGCAAAAAATATTCGAAATCAGGAAAATCTACCTGAAAGCATATCAATACACACACACACACACACACATATATATATATATATATATACATATATATATATATATATATATATATATATATATATATATAATATATATATATATATATATATATATTAT